CTTTATTGGCTAAGGGCAAAGAGGTTTTTATATTTTGAATTATGTCATCCCCAAAGCACAATTTTGATTGGTTGTTGCTTTCTGATGATTGTTTCATTCGTTTAGAAATGTGGTTTTGGCAACGGTTTTTCTTTCATTTGCTTTGGATACCGGATTGCTGACTGTTTTCTCTTGAAAATGTGAGATTTATTGCTTATTTCATTATAATTTTTTATGTTATGTTTTAATTATATATAACTTTAATTATATAAAACGATTTGCATGATTTTTTTCAGGAAACAAAATTCTTAAATTTCTTTATACTATTTGAATTCTTAAAATTTTGTTTCGTGGAGTTAGTTAATTTATTTATTAGGATAATTAATATTTGCATTAAGATATATTATTATTAGTTTTTTAATGTGTGATACATTTTTATTGAATTTTTTTCGATAAATTTGTTCTGCAGAGTAAAATTCTATGCAGGTTTTAAATTTAATGTTTGGTGTTCCCTTTAGGCATTTTTACGGTACATTTAAAAGCCAGGTATAATATTTAAGCGTAAAACATGTCAGACTGCTCTATTTTGAAAGCTTTTATCATTTAAAAATATTTTATTTTTGCTGCAAAAAGAAAACACTGAAAGTAGAAAAGAGATATAAATAAATAACTAGCTAAAGAAATATTTAATAATTAAAATTGCAAGTTTACTTTTGTTAGTAACAATACCTAAAAGTAACACACGACGCACAAACACATTAGTATCATTTGATTTGACCCTGACAATGTCATAATATTTAAAATGAATAATCTGAGATAAATCAGTTATGCCTAAATAAAGCTAAATATTATTATTATCTTTATTTTACTAATTTATAATTTATTATCTCGTGAGCAGTTCAGATTTAGATTTATCAATGAAGCTGTATCGAGGTAGGGGACAAGAATGAAACACACATGCAGTGAAATAAGAAATGAAGATTTTAAATTTCAGCAATATAAATCAGGATCCATTACAAGAAGCATTGTTTCTACTAAGAAGAAAAATAAACTGCCTGAACCAAGAATGAAATTTATAACCTTAAACACAAATAAATATTACATCATAAATTCTGTAATGGATCGCCTGGTAAAAGAAAACAGATCAAAGGAATTCTAATGTACAGAATATTTTTTATGTCTGTGTATTCTTATACTTAAATATTACGTTTAGTCTAAAACCATAAACGGAAGAAAACGATTTTTAATGTAAATAATACATATCTCGGATTAAAAAATATACGGTTTAATAAAAATTTATCAGCTGCATAGTTGGAAAATGCTCTTCTTTCTATCTGCTTTTGAAAGAAAATATCTGTTACAGACACGCAGACGATTTTGATATATAGTCAGTTATACGAGATTCTTCCAGCTCTGATTTTGGATGGAATTTATTTATATTATTCTTAGGCACCATGTTTAGTTCTTTAAATTTATTTGATGGAACATTTGGGAAAATATTTATATATATCTTTACCTATAAATGTCTTCTAAAGGCACTGCATTATTAAAATTTTTATAAAAAAACTCAGAACTATAAAAAAGCATAAATTTAAAACGTATATTTAAAAATTGGTTTATCATAGTGATGGGCTACAGCAGTGATGGCGAAACTTTTTGGGGCAGCGTGCCCAAAACCTGTTTGATTAAATCTCCATCGGAGAGTGGTTTACCATGTTTTGCCAGCCACAATGAAATTTGAAAGCTGGCCGTTGTTAGATGGTTTGTTTCTGAAAGATAATTGCAAAAACCAATTTTCCTTTAATAAAGACCTTCCGTTCAGCTTCTTCAAATTTGGGAAGAATCTTATGGTTGGTGTTAAAGGCTAGGCTTAGGCTTAGGCCCTATGCCAGTGGCATTATGCGATAAGTGTTCCAACTAAAATTCCCTAAAGAGATAAACTGATGTTGGCTTTACTCCGGCAGGAGGAAAATACAAACCAGAACAGAAAGGAACGATGATGTGGTAAGATGTATAGATTTTCCACATTACTTACACATTTGTAAATGATATTTTTAATTTCCATAAATTTTCTCACTACACCTGGACTTTTCGATTATAGTGTAGAGTAATTAGAAATTTTGAAGCAGGAAACATGCAAAATGAGCAATGCCCTAACCGGGACTCGAACCTGAATCTCTGGAATAACCGCCGTGTGTGCTACTGTTACATCACGAAGGCATGCAGAAGGGACGGAGGAAATATCTTATATACTCCTCCTTTTCAAGGGCGACAGGAGATCGGGGGACTTAAACATCAAATCTTGACGATGAAGAACCATCATCCATAACGTTTTAGTTCGGGCGCCACTGTAGAGTCATTAGGATTTTTGAAGCAGGAGACATGAAAATGAGCAATGACCTCGACTGGACTCAAATCTGGACCTCTCTAATAGGCGCCGAGTGTGCTACCGTTACACTACAAATGCATGCAGAAAGAAGGGAAAATACCTTATACGAGTAATTAAAATGAAGCGACAAAAACGTAACATTAACTGGCATGAACGTGTGATACATGTTATTGTGTCTGGTATTTGAAATAAAATTATATTGCGAGAAAGATATTAAAATATGCAATATTCTGTTGCCAGATTTAGAAATATATCTCATCTTATAAAGGATTTATTACTCAGTTTTCCTTTTACTCCTATTTTAAGAAAATAGGCGTTTGGTAGATGCTCTTGTGAATATTACAAATTTTCGCATCTATGATTAGAGTGCAATAAATGCACGTGCTGAACAGGTTCATCCTCTAGAGTTTTACTTTTAGTGCAGAATATAATGGATTCGAATCCTAAATTATGTTTTATTCTTTTGTTTTGACTGAAGGTTACAAATCATAGATTCAAGCTAAACTGATTCTGCAATGATGTGTTTGAATATCAGATACAGGAATTAAGCATTGCCTAATATTCTCAGTATATGTTATAAAGTATTTTTCCTTGCTTTCCAGCATGCCTTCGTGGTGTAACGGTTAGCACACTCGGCGCGTATTTCGAGAGGTCCAGGTTCGAGTCCCGGACAGGGCATTGATCATGTTTCATATCGCTTGCTTCAAAATAACCAAATGAGTCTACAGCGTCAGAAAATAATAGCCAGAAAACGCTGCGCGGTAAAAAATGTAAATTCTAACATTTTCAGTTCTCAAAAGTTAAACTATTTGAAATCAATAAAATAACGGTCATTATTCCAGAGAAAAAGTAATAACAGTAAATTACAAAAGAAGGCAATGGCTGCATGGAGTCCCTCAGATTTCAGTTACTGTGAAGACAACTAGTGATTTTTCTATCCGAGAGGACGCAGTACAGGAAAATGATGATAAAGTTGAAGGAAATGAAGATCAAAGAACCAGAAATGAAATGGACACCTGATGACAGAAGATGATAAATGATGAAAGATGAGTTTCCAGTATTCTTGTTGCGTGCTTGCTGCTGTATAAAGTCAGCTTTCTTAATACACTGCTTTTTGATTTCATGAAAGTTTAAGTATTCAGCGTTCTCGGTGACATTATTGAAAATTTAAATTCTCCCTTTGGTTCTTATTATAAATACCGCGTATTCCGGTGTATAGCGCGCACTTTTAATACAAAAAATAAGATCGAAATTTACGGGTCGCGTTATACACCTACTATGAAAATGATCGATTAAAAAAATAAAGAAAAAAATCAGCATTCGAAAATTAGATTTTTGCATGCACCTAAATGATGCTCATTTAAAAGAAATGACATACATTATGAACTTAAAAGTTTCTTTATCAGATGACATAAAAAGTTCGTCATATCGTCCATTATATCGTCAGGCACATCATTGGACTCTGTTTCATCTTCACCATCATTGTTACTCTGATCCATAAATAAATAATATCATTATTCGTTTCATCTTTCACGAATACCAAACACCCTTGCTGCAGCACAATTTGAAAACTGAATAACTTTGCATCTGAAACCAGCAGTATGTTCTTTCTTTTGACAGGAACCACATCCATGTATTAAAAAGAAGAATGTTTGTTTACGATTAACTCAGTCACTACTATAGCTATTGTAACCGAACTTTCTACAATCCTTCTCTGGGTCCTCAAAAAGGTCGACGTCCACTTTCCCCCCAAAAAAGCTTAAATTAAGATATTAATTAAAAACTCTAAAAACGCTTCATTTTCCCCCTTATTTTTCCGAATGGCAACAGTCTCGCATGGTGAAGTTAAAAATCTGCTTTATTTCGAAGAGTTTTGCCACTATTCGCTTTCAAATCCTAGAGTTTGTTGGTAAAAATTTCCAAGTTTTACGATGAAATAAAAACAGCATTGCCAAACATTAAATACATTATTCTCGGTTCCAAAAATTCGTGGGAAGCCATTTCGACTGTTCCCATCTTCGTACGACTTTAATCAGCTGAGATATTAATTAAAAGCTCTGAAAACAATAGTTTTCGTACTGATTTTTCCGAGTAGCAACGGTCTCGAGCGTTGAAGATAAAAATGTTTTATTTCGAAAAGTTTTGCTACTGCTCGCTTCCAAATCGTAGAGCTTGTTAATCAAAAATGTACAAGTTTTACAAAACCTATATATATAAAGAAGAATGTCTATTTGTGTGTTTGTTGGTTCGCGTTATTCATTTCTGATCAATTATGATCCATTTTTTTGCCACATTTAATCAACTCAAATTGAGTCTAGGTGAAATGATGGATGGAACTAGAGCTTTTAGATATCATTTGATTAGAAAGACGAAAATCATTCAAAACAGCGTGTTATTGTGGCTGATATAATGAAAGAGAATTCATTTACTCTTCTGTCGAGATTTTTTAAATAAATTCCAGTCATAAGGGTGAAAATCATAGCTATCACTTTAAGAGAACTTTTCATTCTAACGTGTAGATTATTAAAAACTCCACCTATATGCTGTTCCATACTAAAACTCCAAATGACAACAGTTTACAAAATCCTTCAGATTTATGTTTAAGGTGAAGTATAAATTTATTATAGCATACCTTCGTTAGAACTGTTCCTTTTGTTTCTCACAACAGCCACAACAGCCGCCACTGCAAGAAGCGCCAGGGTACCTAACGCCGCCAGAGACACTAATAACACCGCACTGATAACACTACGACTATCATCGTCTGAAAGAAAAAATTAACTTCATTAATATTTTTATTAATTTTTTATTTCAATCAATATTTACAGAAATTGAGCGTAAATATCACATAATCGAAAGCTAAAAACTGTTATTAAAATATTTACTTTTCATACATTAAGAAACAACAATACTTAAATGTAAAATATAGCTAACATAGTTATTTCAACTACATTAGAAAAATCTGATGCAGACACCACATGACCTCCTTGTAAGGAATAGTAAATCACACGCATTTTTTGCTGCATTTCATTTAAACTTACTTCCTTACTTCCTAGAATTTCTTTATACATAGATTTCTCATTCCAATAATTCAGTTCTCACTCCGCGGTAGCAAATTTTTTGGTGCACAATACTGAAAGTTTATTTTCGCTCCATCTTGGATAAAAAACATTGAAGGTCACTATTTTGCTAAGTTTCAGATGTAAACAAATATGGCTGCTATGAAAAACAAAAATTAGGCTTAGCCGCATTTAAGCAACATTAAATTGTTGACAATTCTACAACTATTGCATGCAGACTATCTAAAAAGCATAAACACCTTAACCGTAAGATAAGAACAACGTAATTCAATCATTTTGAAAGCAAAAAATGCGCAATTTACTAACATATAAGTATAAAAAAATTGAGCTCACTCAGCAGAGTAACAGAATGGGTTATATGTATACTTTTGATAAATTAAATTCTGAGCTCATGTACTAACCATCCAATACTTTTTAATTGTTAAAGATTTGCTAATCTTTAAAAAGAGAAAATGAGCACTGTCTCTGTTTCTATCATTAAATAACGAATAATCTATATGTATGTATATATAGATGTGTATATATGTATACTTTGTAATATCCTAGCTAAAACAGAATTCCTTGAAAGCTAGGATTCAGAATTGAATAGTCGCTGAGTTCTTGTGAGTAAGTAATAACTTCGGAGAAAGATTAAAATATCCTTTTATTCTAATTCAGAATAGATTTACAGATGGCTCCTGTTGGGCGAACAAGAAGCCTTCACATGAGTTTGAGTTTAAAATAGAAAATATAAAACTAATGTTAATCAGTCAAAGCTGTACGAGTGTGTGTGTGCGCGCATATGAGTGAGTTGCATCAGACGTTTTGAAAACGCTCTGGCTTGTATCAGGGAATTGTATCACTTTCAGACCCCTTGATACAACTTTCTCAAACGCACACATGCACATATTAAATATATATATATATATATATCAGTAACGAAGCTAGGAGGAAAATGAAGTAGTTTCTTATGCCAAGAATATTTGTATTAAGTACATACAGAAAATACTTTAAGCTATGATTGGTTGTTACATAACACAGCAGGATCTCGAATTTGAGAGAATAGATGAATTTAGGGAGAGAGTACTAAATATAGAATTGTTAATTTTGAGGTCACCAATTATTTTTAAAGCAGCTATCGTATTTTCTTACATCTGACATATGTAAGATATAACAAAATACAATGGCTGCTTTAAGAATAATTGGCAACCTCAAAATTAACTAGATTTTATGATCTTCCCCTAAATTCATCTGTTCTCCCAAATTCGAAATCCTTCCATGTTACATAACAACCTAAAATTAAGCAATCACAGCTTAGCTGTACAGCCAGTATAAATAGCTCATAACTGCGCAGTGTCTCTCTTTCGGCTCTTCGCCTAATTGCTGGAAGCGTGTCGCTCACAGCCTTTGCCAGTTATTCGCCATTAATTAAAATGCAATTGCATATCTAAAATTATGGGGCGCTTTTAGCACCCATAGTTTTCTACCAGTTATGTGTTAAGAAATTCGTGATTTGAGTATATATAATATTTAACTATCAAGCTGGTCGTACTTCTTCTAAACTTCCATTCGATCATCCACTACGCCATAAATGTCCCGTCACTACGTAGCAACTTTTTTAGGCCATACCTACAACGTGAATTGTTTTCATCTTCCGCCAAAAGTACAACATATTACATGTATATATATAAAGGGTTTGGAACGAAAATACCAAATCCATATATCCTCAGTGATGGATATTTATCACATATATGAGTTAAACTGTCACATTTCACTGAAAAAACTGTGATTAATTTTAGAACAGTAATTATATTGTTACGTGCGTACGGGTTCGTAATAAATTGAATGCACAAGTCCGATGAAAAGTGAAGAAAATTTATTATTATCACAACAAATAAAACAAAATGCTTCAATTTCCTCAGATATTCGTACAATATTGCAATATCTCACAGTAGTTATCTTTTATCTACTCAAACGTTCAACAGAACTTAATTCAAAACAGCTAAAGACAGCTAAGTCGATTTCATCGCGAATTCGCTACAGTAAACAACAGAAGTTTTCTAAACAAAACTAAAACTGTTTTGATCCAGCTTTTATAAGCTTTTTAAATGTGCACGAGCATATCGAAAAGCAAAAGCGTACAATTATGAGATATCTATTTATTAAACGTGCGTGGTCCTGTATTTTTAATTTTCCGGATTAGCTTTCTCTTAATATTCCTCCTACGCTGCACTGCACGGGGAAATGAAATAGCTTAATAACAATTCTACTAAAAATAGCAGATTAAATACAAAAAACCATAACAATATAAAATTATGGTGTGAAAATATAAAAGAAAAATTAAGTATCGATAAAAGAATTATAGACTATATAACTAAAAGGCACTTAATATAAATATCTACATTATTCTCTTTTCAGTGACGTTAATCCTTTTCAGTGACGGTATCTTTAGATTCTTGATATTGTAAATAGAAGAGAAACTTTGTTTATACTTGCATGTTGTAGCAAATATTAAAAGAATATTACAGCTTTTCCGCCGTTGGATGAAAACTGGAATAATGGATAATGGAATATTCTTTTCAAACGTACGACAGCTTTCTAACTAAATAACGTCTCATTGTCCTTCACTGTTAAATCTAATGCCATGTGATCTAATAAACATGCAATTGGATTTCGAACCCAGCTTAATGTTTTTGTCTCCTTCTGTTTAAAGTAACGATGAGGATTTCGCACAACCATCAACAAGATATTATAGAAACATTAGGTTATTTCGAAGCAGGACAGATGAAAAATGAGCAACGCCTTCGCAGGAACTCGAATCCCTGCGAATACGAGCCGAGCGTGCTGACCACTACACCAGGAAGGCATGCTGAGAAGGTGGGCGAAATACCTTACATACTCCCCTTTTTTGAAGGGAGACTGGTGATCAGGGGACGCAATTTCCAAATGCTCGCGGTGGAGAATCATCATCCAACACCTTTTTTGTTCGGGTGCCACTGTAGAGATATTAGGTATTTTTGAAGCAGGGGAAGTGAAAGATGAGCAATGCCCTCCCCGGAACTCGAACCACGGATCACTCGAATACGCGCCGAGCGTGCTGACCATTACACCACGAAGGCATGATAAGAAGGCGGAGAAATAAATACCTTATAATATAACACCCAATTTTTAGGAATCGTACTACAACACTGGTTAAAAGTTTCAAGAAATTTCTTCTTTTTAATATTGCGTTTGACTCCATTAATTTTGTCAGCGCTAGATAATATATTCTCATCGATCGTTACATTTTTTGAATAAGTTCATTTAAGTATTTAAATAACATTATAGCAGCTTGTTTTGCCGTCAGTAACTGTGCTCCAACTTAGCTGGATACTGAGAGATACGCTTAAAAATATTTTTCTCTCTACCTTTAGCTCCGGACAGAACTCTCCTTCACGACAATCAACGAACTTCAGTATGAAATAACACGCATTAATGCTATGATCACATAAAATTGAAAGAAGATACCGATTAAAGTGGTCTACGTTTGGTTACATATGTCATTTTTAAGATGTTATTAAGTGCGAGATTGATTTCCTAGAGGTAAATTATTTGACACGAGAGCTTCTCAGTGTAATAAAGAAATGTTTCATCTGAATATCAGGATTTTCAGAAGGAACTTCGGAAACTGACGTTGTTTTGTCATTGCGGCAGAAACATTAGTACAAAAGAGTTCGCTATTTTTCTGTGAATCTTAGTTTGTATTAAAATATTGATTGATCACTTTGAAGATTTTTTTTCCTAGTTTTTCCCTGAGAATAAATAATGCTTTTTGAACCCTTTCACCTCAAGGACTCGAACCAGTCCAAGTTGCTAACATAAGTTGGTAACATGTTTTAATTTATCAGATCACGAGGAAAATTACTTAACTTCTTAACAAATTTTCTGCATTAGCTTTACTTCTATGCTAACTGACACGTTTTCAGCATACCGCTAACTGTATTATTTGAAAGCGATGCCTTTTAAAATTTCTTTTATTTCATCGATTCCAGTCATAGTTTCGACAATTTTCATACAAGCAGGTAAAATGAGTTATTCGTTACTTGTGTGAGGCTTTTAGGTTCAGCTATCAATTTCATAAAATTGTAATTTGTGTTTCGATTAAATACCCTTGAGTTCCATTAATTCAGCGATGTTATCGGCGGACACCAATTTTAATGGTAAAAATTGTGTTCTTTCAAATGTATCTGATGTTTTATGTTCTTCATATTCTCGAATTTTTAATGAAGATGTTTTGAGTTTTTATTTTTACCGTGTCACAAAGCTAAAACTGAATTAATTGAAAAAGAAATATACCTCTAATAGAATTCGAGAAAATAAGTTTAAATGAAATGGAGCAAAAAATGTGCATAATGTATTTGGCCATATAAGTCATGTGATGTCTACATCAGATTTTGTAATCAAGGAAATGAGTTTTTTTATATTATTTTAAATGTAAATGATAGCTTTACAATTGAAGTTTTGAAAGTTATTCTAAGTGAAATGGGTCCAAAAATGTACTTCTTTGTTGAAAATGGTGTGTCCTTAAAATTCAGCGTTTTCTAATAAAGAAAAGTGAGACATCGCTAAATCATAAAAAATGCTACAGCATACTATTTTACGATGACGTGAATTGAATCAGAAGCAGTTAAACCAATTTGAATATATGGAGGAATATAGTATACAA